GACAACGAATTGCCTAAAATATTAGCAACTACATTTATCCATGTTGATAAAAATATTAATTTCATATTTTAAGTATGTAAATTTAAAAAAAAATCTGAAAGTCGTGAGAATACAGTACTGCAACTAAAGCAGTGTTTATTTTATACCGAGTGATGTTTCATAATCTTTTACCATAGTTGTAGTAATACCAAAAATTTGTTTTGTTTGCGGTTTTGTGATTGCTGTTTAGAAGTGCATCTCCAATAGAAGCACATATAAACCAAAAATTGCTTTTATAGTATACTGGATTATTAATATAAAATCTATTTTGACATACATTATTTACATGCATCACTAATAGAGCAAATATGGTGTACATGTGAACTAGTACACATGCATAAATATGGAAAATATTGGACATGGCAATATCGGGATACTACCAAACATTCTAAAAGTTTGATGTTGCAGTTTATGTTTTCTGCTGATTAGACATCAAATATACTAAGATCACATTCAGTACTTATGCTATATATAAATATAGTTCTTTAAATGCGTATAGAGGAAGCTACAAAGCAAAACATTCCATTCCTATTGTGTATTTGTTTTTTATTGATTCTATTGTCTGTTGTGCGACGGGGTTATAGCCAGAAAATTGAAAGTTCCTGTCTAAAAACTTTATCAAAGTTCTAGTCTTGTAGCCATATACTTACCGATATATTCTATTTTTCCGTTGATGGTTATTCAATGTACAGGGAATTGAACAGGTTTGTAAAGATTTTGCCTGTCAAATGAAATTTTTTATCTGTCTAAAATTCGGAATGCCTGTCTAAGATGGTAGGCAGGTGGGCGGCTGGCTTCAAGCCTGTTGTGTGGTCAACAGCATTCTGATGTTTGGAGTGCATGTGTACAAAGTTTTCTGGAGATAGGGATGCAAGAGGGGGAGGGGGTACTAATTTTGATAACGATCAAAGATCTACCATATCGTGAAATATCAACTTTTCCTTTGAACTTTTTATTTTGAAATTGGTTTGAATCACCACTTGTCAGAGCTTTTGAAATTCAAAATAGATTGTGGAACATTTTGAGATTTTCATAAAATACAACTATGTTTGATTATTTACTCCAAAAATATCTTTTGGCTTGTTATGCTTAGAATATTAAAATTCACTATTCAACATTTTGAAGGAGTCATACCTTACAATGTTAAGTTTCAAAGTTGGTTAAAAAGTATGCATAAATTGAGAAACCAAGAGTACCTGAGTCAGATACATTTGATAAAGTTCAGATTTGCTAGGTAAACTGAAAGGACATGAAAAAGTTATCCATTATCTATAGCCATTGTCAGTCTGTATTTCTATAGCTTTTTGAGCATCAATAAATATAAGTACGTCACTGACATCTATTGAATTGTAAATTTGAATATGAAAGAAATAGCAAGGCATGTGTACGTACAACCCCATTATTAATAATTATTGTATTAACCAGCTAATCAATATTTACTGGTCTGCTGCAATATTTGTTGTCAAATATTTAGAAGCAAATGCACTTGGTACTAATGGATCAGTCTGACATCATATCAGAACAATATTTATGGCTCACCTGCAATCAAGGGGAGATTTTCTTTAAATTGAGGAAATACTATACATAATGTCATAGACCCCAAACATTGCTAGCATCAGTCACAAACAAATTAAAGATCACATATGATAATGTTTTTTTTCAAACACCTAACTTTTCAACACCATAATTCAAGAAGAAAAGTTTGAGAATACTAATATACCCACTTGGCGCACACGCTCGACTATGTGACGCTCTCCTTACACTATTGGATGATTTATATTTTGTAGTCAAGTTTGATTAAGCTCTTCCGTAATTAAAAAAGATAATTTGAAAAAATAAATTTTCTGTTCAGGATCTAAAACTAAATTTAGTGTGGGAAATAGTGAATTATGATCTAATTTGTATTATAAGCCACATCTTAATAGAACCTGCACACATTCTTTTTGAACAATTGAGAACCAAAATGCACTATTTCTCATGTTTGTTAGATCCTCTCTGTTGCATTGTACCATTTTAATAGAAGCCACAGCTTCTAATACAGACTTATTAGTCAATTGAAGCATGGTGCTACACCCATAATGCATCTGTACTATATATTGATACATTGGTACACAAAATCCTGGTTCAATTCACTGACTTTCTAGGACCCCAGTGAAAGTCACTGTGACTTCCTAGGACCCCAGTGAAAATCACTGTGACTTCCTAGGACCCCAGTAAAGTCACTGTGACTTCCTAGGACCCCAGTGAAAGTCAGTGTCTCCCTTGGAACCCAGTGAAAATCACTGTGACTTTCTAGAACCCAAGTGAAAATCACTGTGACTTCCTAGGACGCCAGTGAAAATCACTGTGACTTCCTAGGATCCCAGTGAAAGTCCCTGTGACTTTCTAGAACCCCAGTGAAAATCACTGTGACTTCCTAGGACCCCAGTGAAAATCACTGTGACTTCCTTGGATCCCAGTGAAAGTCTCTGTGACTTCCTAAGACCCCAGTGAAAGTCTGTGTCTCCCTTGGAACCCAGTGAAAATCACTGTGACTTCCTAGAACCCCAGTGAAAATCACTGTGACTTCCTAGGATCCCAGTGAAAGTCTCTGTGACTTATTAGAACCCCAGCAAAGTTCACTGTTACTCCCTAGAACCCCAGTGAAGTCATTGTGACTTCCTAGGGCCTCAGTGAAAGTCACTGTGACTTCCTAGGACGCCAGTGAAGGTCACTGTGACTTCCTGGGACCCCATTGAAAATCACTGTGACTTCCTAGGACCCTAGTGAAAGTCACTGTGACTCCCTTGGAACCCAGTGAAAGTCACTGTGACTTCCTAGAACCCCAGTGAAAATCACTGTGACTTCCTAGAACCCCAGTGAAAATCACTGTGACTTCCTAGGACCCCAGTGAAAATCACTGTGACTTCCTTGGATCCCAGTGAAAGTCTCTGTGACTTCCTATGACCCCAGTGAAAGTCTGTGTCTCCCTTGGAACCCAGTGAAAGTCACTGTGACTTCCTAGAACCCCAGTGAAAATCACTGTGACTTCCTAGGATCCCAGTGAAAGTCTCTGTGACTT